AGATGCCAGATAACAAAATATTATTAATTAAAAAAAAAACAATTTTTTTATGAGGGACCAGAACGCCACATAGAATTCTTTTGAGAAGCCGTCAAGTCCTGGCGACTTCCCGTTTTCCATTTCTTTAATAATATTAAAAACTTCCTCTTTATAAGTTCATGTTGCTATGGTTTCTGCATCTTCATTAGATAAAGATGTATTAAAATGGAGTCCAAATATTCACTTTGGTCTGTATATATATCAGACACAGTTCCCCAAAGGTCCGTGTAAAAATTTTCAACTATATTTAATATTTCGTCTTGATTTTCTTGTATTTTTCTCATTACTGTTTTTTAATTGTGGTTTCGGCTTCTCTTTTTTTAATCCTTTGGAAAAATATCTTCGTTGGTTTTTCTCCAATTTTCGTTTCTTCAATTTTAGCTTTAAGTTTTAAATAAGCTAATTTTTTTATTCTGATGAAGAAAAGGAGCTCTTGACGAAGTCTCTCATTCTTTCATCATTGTCGGTACCTTCTTTTATTAATTGGCCCAGATGTTACCTTTTTTCTTTTATTTTCTCTTGCTTTTTCGATTGAATAAGCAATCGAAACTTTTCCAAGACCATCTTTTACGAAATCCCACCATTTTTGTATATGGGAAAATTCATCCATTTGGTGGACTAAGTGGTTTTATTTATCAGTAATAATGTTGATATAGTTTATATCACTATACAAATTAATATTATTTTTCCAGGCACCCTTGCCCCACTTTATCTTCATAGAAGACTTTAAATGAAAGGACTGGGACAAGGGTGTGGTCAGAAACGGTGTTTATTATATGGTGGATGACTTTGAAACAAGCCAGTAGGTTTCCAGAGATATAGATTCTGTCTGTCCTGCGTGACTGTGTTCCAATTTGGCAGGTGTGAGTTTGCCCCGTAGAATGTTTTCTACGATAGACACCCACCATACCTGCAGTTTGCATAGTTGAGACTCTGCCCTAGAGAGCTTAAAATGATACTTAATTAAAACATCTGTTGAAATCGCCGGTTATTATAATGTATAGCAGGGATCCAGGATCTGGATCACACTGCACATCTTTCCCATTAATTCTGTCTGGACATGCTCCCTGACAGAAGGGACATAGGAATTTATAATGCAGTAGTTGTTATTATGAAAAAAAAAAAAATCTGTCAAGCCTGTAGGGAATCAGATTAATATGTGTAACATCTACGAGGGAGACTTTATTATTAACCAAAAACCCAGTTCCAGACCTAAAATATTTTGGAGGTGTTTCTTCGTTTAAGATTGTATTAGAATGTGCAGTGTAACCCAGATCGTTGGCCCAAGTTTCAATGATATTATAGTTGGAGCGATGAACCTGCTGCAGAGAAATAATATCTGGTCTTTGACTCTGTAGCCAAAGACTCAGCTTGAGCCTATTAGTGCTTAGCCCGTTGATGTTGAGTGTGGCTATGCAAAAAGAATCCATTGCATATAGGGCGAATGAAAAATACCAAGTTTTAAACTATATCGACTATTATACAATTAACTATATTGTGGTTTAAGCTATTATAACCAACAATAGTTACAGTGATATTATAATTATGACTGGTAGAAAATACTACCAAGAATAAAAGACCAATAACAGATGTTTCCTCTCCCAAATTGTTCTAGGGATTAAAATGGAAGGGATTGTGGAATTGGAATGATTTTAATATTTTTATTCTACGGCAGGCGCCACAGAAAAGATCCTAAATTTACTAGGGGCGGGACTAGTGAGGTGTCAGATGTTCCAGACAAACTCTCACGTCCATTTTTTTCCTCCCTAAAACCAGAGGGTTTGTCGATCTGAGAAAAATCCCACTCTGGACCCGGTAGTTTTACCATGACTCATTAGTGTATTTCTAAAAGACTTATGGTCTTCATCTGAGCTCCCCGAGAGTTTGGCCAGGTTTAACGGACCATCCTCCGAAGAGCTCTCATTCTCATGGATATTATCATTAAAAATTATTTGAGAGTTTTCCGGGTCTCCAACCGATTTTTCCCTATTTCTATTTTCTACACCTGATTTACCCTTTGAATTAGAATGATTCGACTCCAAAGAGTCAGAGATTTCCTTCAGATCGGTTGAGATGGAATGTAGTTCAACCCTGACCAAACTAGAGTATTTATTGGGTTCATTGGGTGAGACTTCAGTTTCAATATTTTCCTTCTCCGAAGGTCCCTGTGAAGATGATGGACTTGAAACAATTTCAGAAAAACTATATCTAGCCGGTTTAAGTTTTACTAAAGTTATTATAGCGGGTACACCAGGAGAGCTTGTGCGAGGTGTTGTATCGCTATCTGGTTTCTCAGTAGATGGCATAGCTGGAAATTCAGGGCACTCTCGCTGAATGTGTCCCGACTTTTTACACAGACACAGACGGCAGATCACAATCTCAAGCCAAATGCCCATCAACAATGGCTTGCACATAACCGTTGTACACCCGGGTGATTTTTTAGGTAGATCTTAAATATCCGCCTAACTGATCCAAAATTAAGAGAGTTGAGCATCGATTTGATCTGCTCCAACGTGGCCTCTGTTGGTATACCCCGCACACTGATGCGTGTGCCGGGGCCACGAGGTAGACCAAATTTCAAATTACCAAGAGGAGTGTCCATGTTATTACCAACGGTATTTAATAAGTTACCTCGCGTTGACCCACCATCCGTGGGCTGGAAGGTAAGGTTCCATAAGCCCTGTCGGATGGGGAAAATACCTTCTACCATAGGGTAGAAGGGGTGCAATTTGGCAACGGTGGAGAAAAGTTCGTAAAAAGCAGAGACGGTCGATATGTCCTGTGATGTTACGACATCAACCGACTCGCCGCGAGAGATCTCCACACCTTTAACGCTGGCTAACGACGCAGCTACGCTCGAAAAAAACGGCTTCATCGTTGCTGTTGAACCCTGGGTAGTCATGGCGACTATGTTCTGATTGCCAGGAACACTCTGAACTGAATCAGTGCCAAGAGACAAATGTGTCTTAGCAGACATAAAGATACAAAAAAATTAAGTTTACCACCAAAATCAAACAAGGGAAGGACACTGTAGAACAATTATTATAGGTAACTATATTATGATACTATGCCCCTACTTAGGGTGGTGCAGGATCCGAAAACTAGATGCAAGTTGAACCACTAAAATTTAAAACAAAAAGCTAGACCAAAACTACAACGATTTATTGTAAAACAAATCGTTAAAGAAACGCCGGGGTGGCCTCAAACAAATTACTCAAGAGAGCGAGGCCACTCCCAATACACCAAGAATTGGAGCGGATTACAAGACCTCTATTTAGCTGTACCTTAATACAACCTAATACTCCTTTTACTGCTTTACTTCATAGCATATATTTGATTTATATCATCGTGACTAATCACACGCGATATCTAATGTTTTATCATCTCGTAGGTTGTTTTCATATTCATCCATGTGAATTGAAGATTTCAAATTTTATTTTCATGAGTCTATTGTGACAAGATCACTTTTTATTATTACAAAGGATAAACGGCCCTAAGGGCGTTGACCTAATGACTTGAAATAGTCTTTTTCGTCACCAGTCTATTTTGACTACGCGAATACTCATATCTCTTTTTTCTATGATATATCTCATTTTGTTCAACAGTATCAACATGCTGACTCGTCACGCTAATAATCGAATTGCGTAAGTCATTTTTAGCAGCTTTGAGAAAAACGTAAAACACTTCCTAATGATATTGCTATGCCATTGAGAGTCAATAATTTGCCATAGTTCAATTTTTCGATCGTAGCCGGATTTAAGTTAATTTGTATGACGCAGTCATGTGACGTCATAATGACGCACTGTGATAGGAAAGAAATGTGTCTATGACTTAGAAACAAACGCAATTTTGCAACTTGACTATATGCACCAGTCCTGAATACCAAACAATTCAAAAACGAATGTAATTCTTAGTATCTACGATGTCTAATCCCCAAAATAGCTAATCTGTTTCAATTTCATTATTTTTTATGTTTAAAAATATATATTTCCTCAATATAACACACTCTGCACACACACCAAAATAAGACTAAGATTAAATATAATAAATAAAACAGCAAGGTACCCTTATATAAAAGTCAACCAGGATGAATTGGACTCGGACAGTGATTATCACAAGTGCACGCCTTCCTATACTGTAGTATAAACTTAAATTTATGAGCGCCCAGCGAGAATCTGAGATGCAAAAACTCGAAAATCCTTCGCAGAGGTTGTTTTGCATTTGTGACGTCACAATAGTCCTGCGTTAACAATAACAATTCATTATGACGAAACAAATTTACATGTCATACAAAATCGCCATTTTTATGGGTTTCGGAATTCTTAAATAAAATCTTAACAGTTAACAGACAGGTGCGCACCGTTACATTGATACCTATTTTATGAAAAAAAAAACTCAAAACCGCCAAAAATGACTTACGCAATTCGGTTATTAGCCTGACGTGATATAGCCCAGCGGAAAAACAAATATTGACCTATTGAATAAAGTGAAAATGACTGAACGTTCAACAGAATTCTCAGACTAAAATTTGATACATTTTTGGAAAGCAGATGTTTAGGCGTATCGGCGATCATACGCCTCAATAAAGTATTTCTCATTAAAATATTCATTTTCCAATGATAAAATTATCAACGCGACAGATGAGAACGTATAATGTTTTCAGAGGATTTCATGGGGAGAAAGAGGAGCAAGTGAAGCTACGACTGTCGACTCATTCCATCTCCTTTTATGTCAATAACATCTGGTTTGTAAATAAGACTTGATGAAAGTACCCGTTTCGGGGCAACAAGTTGATGTCAATAACATGTCGCTATGATCAGTAACTTCCATTCATCTAATTTGGCCATGTCTGAGCAATCAGCAAAATTGAACTGCGGGGTGAATACATGCCTACATATTGCTTACATATAAAGTCGTTGTAAAATTTTGAGTCGTTCTTTAGACGCACTACGTGCATGATAAGAAACTGTGCCAGAATCCAAAATTACGAGCGTAAGATGACGAACATGAAATTGGTTTTGTTTTTTGTGTTTGTGATCGTGATCCAGATAAGTTTTGTGAAATCGAATTACCACCTATGGCAAAGATGGAAACATGAATTTGGTAAGGACGAAATTGACATATATATATATTTACAAATATACCTATGTATTGAATATATTTTAGAAATAATGAGAAATTACCGCTCTATAAAATTTGACGCGCTACTACTTTAATTTCGACTTGCTGTTTTACACTAAAACATCGTAATATTTTTAAATGATTTTTTCGGCAGAATGGAAATGCTTCCAATATGTTATAATTCGTTTTATTATTCGAGAAAATAGTAAAATCTATTACTTCGGACTAAATTATATTTTGCGGAGTCGATTGTACCGATTGGGCTACAGCGACAACAACTAGGCAAAATTTTCTTTCAAAATAACAAAGGACTAACTTTGATTTTTTAATAAAAAGTAAATCAACCTTTAGGCAAGAGATACGACACAGATGAAAATAATCAAAGATATACAACATGGAAAAAGAATCTTGAATTTGTTGAAAAACACAATGAGAAGTTTAATTCGGGAGAAACAACGTACAAAATGTCTATGAACGGACTTGCTGATTTGGTGAGTTTTGTCTGGTTTTTAAAAAATTATGGAATATTAGAATCTTCCATTACAACTGCATAAATAAAATCCACTCTCCATAACTGAGTGTTTTGTTGAGAACGAAAGAACTTGAATAAAATATGTATATATATATATTCATTCGTAACACGTATATTTTTGCAGACACAGAATGAATTCAAAACGATGCTGATGGAATATTCTAGTTCATTCGCACAGTTGAGAAATTCAAGTTTATTCAAGTCAGGATTTAACAATTCGGTACCAGATATACTTGACTGGAGAAGTGAAGGTTATGTTACACCGGTAAAAAATCAAGGACAAATTGGATCTTGTTACTCGTTTTCAGCAGTGAGTTAATAATTTTCAATCTCAAATTACTTGTTGTTATGACAATATTGGTTTAATTACGAACCAAAGGTTAGCAATAGTGACTAGATCTGACATGGGCAAACTACGGTCTGTGGGCCAAATCCGGCTCGCTGGGTGATTCAATCTGGCCCGCCTGATGCTGTCACAACCAAACTAAAACCAAATTTTGATGTTTTAGGTAAAAGATAACTCAAGGAATTTGTTGAGATTGCGATTAAATTTAGTTTTGTCGCGCGGCCAATTGTTATCCATTTTTGCAGTTGTAACAGTGTAATTATTGTTCATAAAATGCCCCCCTGGACTAGACTGTCAAATTTATATAATATTGACCTGACTCCCGCGTTAGAATGAACGTTTGATGACATAATGGCCCTCACTGTCTCGTCATAATAAATTTCACCTTTGTTCGGTAACCTCGTTGACTTAGAACCATTTCAATTAAGTGAGACTTCCTGTAATAATCAATGTCAGTTTTTTGTTAACAGGGTAATTTTATTCATTTTCAATTTTAATATTTATAATGACTCACTTATGATAGTACTGATTGAAATTTCACCATTTGCTTTAAAAGGTCGAGGCCGTAGAGGGACAATATTTTAAACAAACCGGAATACTTGTGTCGCTTAGTGAACAACAGATTGTTGATTGCGATCAGGGAGGTGATGGGGGAATTCCTTATAAAGTTTATGAATATATCCAAAGAGTCGGAGGAGTGCAAACGGAGCAAGATTATCCATATGTAGCTAAGGTAAGACACAGATGTCTTGTTACCATGTACTGCGATTTAATTCAAGTATATGTCTTCTGTATACTGTATAACTACTAAAGATAAGATCATATATATATAATATATATAATACTTAAACTATGAAGTGATAAACGGATACAGTGACATGGCAAAATTAATAATACTTCTGAAAAGTTTTTCAAAGCTTTCATCATTCACATTCACATCATCATCCAGGCGATGTTTAAACGTATGAAAACAAGTTGGAAATAATTTCATCAGAAACTTTAACCAAACAGTTGCTAAATGTGGAAATATTACCTCGTAAAACATTTTTTGATCGACCCTACAATGGATGAACTTTGGCCATGAAAAAACTTATTCACACAATAATCATATCAAAGTAATAATAACAGTGGTCTTTTTTAATTTAACATAACGTTTGTTCAGGTGCAAAAGTGCAAATTTGACAAGAGCAAAGCGTATGCTGCCGTATCGTCATATGATTTAATAAGACCACGAAGAGACGAAGATTCCCTACAAACGGCTATCGCTCAGGTTGGACCGATATCAGTCAGTAGTATCAAAATCTATCAAAGTTTCCAGTTTTATCATTCAGGTAATATTTGATTTGATGCTATATTTAAACAAATATTCAGAAAGAAATGATTCGATAATATTAATTAAAATATATTTTGGAAGTAGAATATAATAAAAATTAAATTATTGATGTGCAAATTTGGGGAACAGCAAACCACAGACGGCCAATATCCTTTCCATATTACTTCATTATCAACTAATTATTCGTTAGGTGTTTATTATGAACCGAAGTGTGATGGGCTTGGTCAGCCCGGTGACGGCTATCATGCAATGCTAGCAACTGGTTATGGATCAGAAAATGGAAATGATTATTGGATGGTAAAGAATAGGTAAGTCAGGCTTTCAACTTGGGCTTATATAAATTTAAGTTCTGCCACTTTGTGGAAATTGATATATATATATATAAATATATGTATTTTTCTTTTCCAAGTTGGGGAACAGGATGGGGAGAGAACGGATATATTAAAATGATAAGAAATAAGAACAACAACTGTGGAATAGCAAGTCAAGCAACATATCCTATCATGTAAGTTTAAGGAATGATGCTGGTGGTAAATTGTTGAAAAAAAATAAAGCTATTTCCCCTGTTGCATGAAACACTCAAGCCGGCGAATAACTGATGAGAAAAGCGTTTAAAAGTCGTTTTTGTGTTGCATTCATACAAGCCCCCAATATTGCGTAAATAGGCGCTTTATAGGTGACTGCCGCACCGTTTGACACCTGCGTGGCGTAGTCTTACTCTTAGCGTGGAGAAAACAAGCAAATGAGTAATGATAGATATTATTACGAAGGATCATCCAGAGTATAGTGTTCTGCTAATTATAAACAAGTTAGGCTAAAATCAAAACCCAAAATTTCTAGTGAATTATTTTATTTTGTTACAATACCACACATTTTTTTGCAGGTCTGCACAACAACGAGCGCTGGCAATACCTGAGACGACGACATCAGGGGGAAACATTCAAGCTTGGTCAATGGCGGCATTGTTGATCAGTCTGGTGTCTGCTTCAGTTTTCTTTTGATTTCAGTTCATACTTTTGCTTCTATTTTATGTATACATATAACTTTTTCATCACTCTATTATTGGGTTCTTATACGCCTTTTGTATTTAGCTTGTTTTAGGTTGGAGGATGTTTCCCCGAGCTTCATTTGTTGTTTATTTCCGTAACAATTGCAAATCAGCAACAAGTTAACAATGACGTAACAATTGGTATTTGCGGCCTCTCAGACACCTCTTCCCAGGGCTGCCACTTTAGATGTTTTATAGCTAGATCTAGAAGTTTTTTTTTCGAGATATAGATGTAAAATTTGGTGTCTAGATGTTAGCTATAAAATCTAGTTATTTTTTTTCAACGTTCCCAATATTATCCGGTGGGAAATGAATAAAGCGATTTGTATATTACTGTAGTATGTGAATGAATATTATTTCATTACAAAGAAGTAAGTTAAATATATTGATGTAAAAATATATATATTGATAAAACTCATTTATATTGAATTATTCGAATAACGATTTAAACATGTTTAGAACATGTGACGTTTTAATTGAATAGAAAGGACGACGTTGGTCCGATGAGTCAGTGCTTTGTATTGCATCGTTGCCAATTGATGAGAATAATTTGTGTAGTACAAGTTGCTTACTCTAGGATTTTAAAATTATAAAGTTTTTCAAGTGCTGTTAAATTTGTCTTCCTTTACTTTTTGGTGATATGAACTACGCAAAAAATAATCTGAGAAACAGCATGAAGACAGATTTACTGAATGCAATACCTGAATACTGGTTATCAAAGTCCGCCTGATTTGAAAAAACAATGCTGCACTTCTTATAAGTTGCTGATTCGGTTGCCAAGAGAATAGATATAGAAAAAACTTATAAAAATTCCTTCGAAGCAACAACATTAACAGATGTCAGATCTAATATTATGTGATATATATAATAAACTTTGTATGCTCTTGTTTCATTGATTTTCATTAAATTCAATGACTTCAAATCTAGATGTATTTTTTAGATGTTTCATTTTTCAATCTAGTTGTTTTTCGTGGTCAATCTAGATGTTTTTAGTCAGGCAAAAGTGGCAGCCATGCGTTCTTTCGCTCAGACAGATGTTCAAGCGGGTTGTAAACATTGCCTCTTTTTGGAAGTTTTGTCAGTGTTATTGTCAGTTTTCGATTGTGTTTGAATAAAAATGTTAGTTTTGAACATGTGAGCAAGTACATATATATATATGGAGAATCTATCCAAGGGTGAAGGAAACATCTATACTATAGTATACCTATAAAGTTTTATTTGACTTCTATTTTGAAACCCACATCATAAACAAACGCAGGAAACAGCTTTCAGACTTTGAGAGGAAGTAATTATTCTTTTCGAAAGTGAACATCAGACTTGGGGACTGACAAGATGTCTAGCTGTGTTACCGATTTTTTTTCTGATGTTCTGGCGACCACCCTGTAGTTATAGGGCGTTGAAAACTTTTACCGCAATAACTTTACTTGTATTTGAAATCAGGAAATGAAAATTTTTCAATAACCAGGTTTTAAAGTACACATTAACAATTATTCAGAGTTTACATGGATTTTGTAAGTAAATTTATGAGAAATATGCTAAACTACGTGGTATACATGAATTATATTATCATCAATGAATGGATCAAAATTTATATATATATATATCGGTAGATCCATACTTGTCCATCGGCTTTCAGTCGTATTAAAGGCATTGCCATCCTGTTACATTGCTATTTCGGATTTCTGGGTCGTTACTCTCCGAAATGGACAGATCGATTGTATGGTAATTCCGTGAAAGATGCAACAGCGTCGTTGTCGAGAGCTTTTTTTAAATTGCAATAAACAGTATCAATCAATAATAAATACATCACAGTAATACATAACAATATCATGGCAAATCATTCTATGCATGCCCTTCATTTGGTTTTTCATAAAAAAATTATTGCAGTATACAATATTAATAAATACTATTTAATCTTATCTCTAATTCAATAACAATGTCATCCCAGACGACCCTATACATATACATAAATTATTAGGTAATACAATAGGTATAATAATATAATAACAATTATCTGTTTAGAATAATAATATTACTGCAATCTTCAAATAAATTCCATTTTTTTCTATGTATGTGAAGTTTGCCATTTTTTAATGCTGCATATTTTTTTCACTATCACGAATATCACATAAAAATTTGAGAAACACATCAAAAATCGGTTTGTGCTTCTGAATTCGGCATCTATATATATAGAAACGTGCAGCCAGTTACCAAATTGTAAATTAGGAATATCATCAAACCCTATGAAACATTCTTTCATTTTAAGACAAAAATTCATATATATCGTCTGTTTTGAAAACTATCCATTGGTCTACCTCAGACCAAAATTGACTTGTTATGGGACAATAATAAAACAAATGTAATAAGGTTTCAATATGTTGTTTACATAATTCACGCATATTTGTCTCCACTAGTCCAAACCCATGTAATGCATAGTTGAGAACTGTAGATTTATAAAAAAGTTCAATCTGGAAAGATCTTTAATTACCAGCAGTCATATCCCTTATCTCCACGTCATTTAAGTGCACCGAATGGTGAAATTCGGCATATGAAGTTAATTGGTTCACCATTTCACTGTTTACTCACTATTCTAACTAACTATTCATTCGTATTTTTAATATTTATTTACATCACCACATGCATAGAATATTACCAGTGGCGGCGCGTCAATAGGCATTGCCCCGGTTGTTTTTTCGGTATAATAAAAAATATTCGAAAAATACCTCAATATCGGTTGCACAGACTGTCTACACTAGCCATATTCTCCCGACATGGTTCATTTTTCGCTCGCAAAGCCTTCGCCGAACGTCGACGGGGCGACGCCGATTTTGCCCCGGTTGCTCATTGTATATCGTATTCTCTCTTTTATCTTCCACTCGCCGCGTTTGTCTCGTTTGTTTTCTGTTTCTTTTACTAAATCATCGGGGCCGAACGGGGCTAGCCCCGAAATTATGACTACACAATGCCGACGTTTCTTACAACAACGTGTTGACATATTCACGCATTCCTTCTCGTTCGTTGGTTGCTTGAAGAGTTGATAGTTTTTGTCGCTTGTTTCGCTATTTGAATCAGTTAGAGACCTTTAGTCCATTTGCTTTCGATTTTCCGCATTCCTTTTGAGCTCCTCACTTCTTTCCGGCTTCGCATTTCTTAGCCTTAGACCTCATAATGAATAAGGTTAATGCACTACTTCGCACTCCGTTTTCGCAGCTGCCGCTGGAACAAAAATTAGAGGTACAACGTCTTGGGCCTTATCAACCAATAAATTGTTCACTGGAACAATCCCATGACGGAGGAAAGCGTCGGCGTACATTCTGCGCAGAAACTTGGTATAAAAAACACGAATGGTTGTGTTACAGCGAGGACAAAAATGCACTTTTTTGTTTTTATTGCCTACTTTTTGCTACCGCCCGTGACTCACGTTGGTGTAAATTTGGTTTTAGAGATCTTAAACATCTTTCCGAGCGTGCCAGGGATCATCAATCTTCTATGGAGCATCTGGACAATGCAGTAAAATACCGAACATTCGGAAATGTTAATATTGCAGCACAGTTGGATGAAGGACGCGCGGTTTCTATTCGTCGGCACAACCAAAACGTCGAGAAAAACCGCCATGTTCTCGGTCGATTGATAGATGTTTTGAAGTTCATTGTTTGTCACGAGCTGTCCCTCCGTGGGCACGATGAACGGGCTGGCTCTTCTAATAGAGGGGTATTTTTGGATATGGTGGAATACACCGCATCCCTAGATACAGCATTGAGAGATCATCTTGATGCCGCAACTGTTTCGAAAGGGACATCTAAGGATATCCAAAATGATTTGCTCGACTCAATGTATAAAATTTATTTACAACATTTGGCTCTGGAAATTGAGAATAGCCAGTTCCTTTCGATTCAGTCTGACGAGACAACTGACATCACGTGCGTTTCCCAACTGGCTGTGATTTTTCGGTTTGTGAAAGATGGTAAACCTACCGAGAGATTTCACAGCTTTGTACCAATCGTTGATCGCACGGCTTGCGGGATATCGGCTGTACTGAAAGAAGTGTTGCAGCCTTACAACGCGAAGTCAAAATTGATAGCTCAAACTTATGACGGCGCGGCAGTCATGAGTGGGTCGAAACATGGTGTTCAAGTTTATATAAAAGAGGATTTTCCTCATGCGCATTTTTTAAATTGTTATGCACACCAATTCAACCTCGTTATTAAAAATATGTGTCTTGATACCCCTCTCGTCCGTATATTTTTTGCAAATGTTTCGGGGTTTTCTTCATTTTTTTTCCGTTTCGCCGAAGCGCTCTGACCTCCTTCATTGAATGTTTCAATGGCATTCAGAGCTCTCCGGTTTGGGACAAACGCTCTGTGAGAGAGGCGGCAGGTCTAAAGCGTCTGCTAGAAGATGGTGAGTTTTCATTTTTTCTCGCTTTTTTCTCCACAATATTCTATCACGTGGATGTATTATACGACGCATTGCAGTCAAGGCTAATGGATGGAGCGTCTGTGCAGTCGTGTATTTCAGACTTCTGCGATGCTGTATCTCGTATCCGGGAAACAATAAAATACGACGACACATGGAGTGCTTCTTTACGCCGCGGGCAAACAACGCAGCGTTTGATTTTGTCTGCAAAGGAATGCTGTGACATTCTGGTGAATCAAATAGGCGATCGTCTGTGCACTGAACACCTTGCCGCGTTCTCTTTGATGAACCCCAAAATTTTTTCAAAATTTGCACGTCAATTTCCCATCCATTTGTTGGCTACTGTCTCCAAATTTTACCCCATGATAAACGTGGGTAAATTGGAAAATGAATTGCGATGTATATACACCGATCAAACTTTTTTGAACATCACATCAACTTGCGCGCTCTATGGGTTCCTCATAGATAACACTCTAGTAACTACCTTTGCGGCGTCTGCAAAATTTCTGGACATCATTTTGACGACGCCTATTTCTTCCGCCGACGCAGAGCGAACATTCAGCACGCTGAAGCATATTAAAACGTATCTCAGAAACACAATGAAGTAAGATAGATTAAATTCCTTGGCTGTTTTATCCATTCACAGAGACGTTATTTCTGGGATGCATGACTTTAATCAGAGCGTTATTGAGCATTTTGCTTCCAAGAAACCGCGGCGTGTTGCATATATGTTCAAGCAGTAGAAGTCTAGCAGCATATATATCTATGAGTGAGCGACGCATGTCCTTATCTTTGCATTAACTTTCCTTTCTTCATAGTAACGTTTTGAACCTTATTTTAGGTTTTGTCTGCTTTCCCGAAGTTTCTGTTAATATGTCATTGTATTTATCTGGGTAAATATTGCCTTTCCTTTTGAAAGAGGTTTCAAGATAAACTACACTTTCTTATCGTTAAAAATTGTCGCTTTTGCCGATTGGTTGTTACCGATGAAATGGTTTTTATACTCATAAAATGATGGGAGAACTTACAGCGCTCATCCTGTCCCCGTAGATGGGGTGACTTGGTCCCGCAGTAGCTTGCCCCGGTTGTCAAAATGACCACGCGCCGCCACTGAATATTACATTTAATCATATTTTTGCAAATCTCACTTCCTATTCATTGCACTTGGTTTTGACAATTATTACTGTCATACACTGACGACAACAAGGTTTTGCTGCTATGTATATAATTGTACTATACATTGCTATATTCATCGGCTATTACTTAACTGTAAATCAATCGCTTTTTATTTGTTCAATTGTCGTCACACCTGTACCCACTTCTAACTAATAATAATTGATTGAAATATTTTACCCACTTCCATTTTTTCTGTGCTGCCCTTTGATTCACGTATCCGTCCACGAAGCCTTTACGAAGTGGGGGACCTCATATAGCGACATCTAAGTTTCAACCTTCTATAGGGTTCTTGCTGTTGTTCCCCAAACTCCGCGTGCCGAGACTACGCTTTCCTATTTCTGCCCGCTTTCAAGTCTCTAATAAAACGTGTAAGATCTTTGTTGTATGTTGTATTATAAAAGCGATGATAAAAGCACAAAATAGATATTTAAAACAACAAGAGAGCTACGCACAAATATATGGACACGTTAGACCAGAGCGAATCAGTCCTTACCGGTACCTTTGACGCTACCGGTACCCTCAAAAAAGTTCTGAATTTCCAGTAGCAAGAATTTTGCAGAATCAAAACGTACAGCCGTCATGACACTGACTAAAATCCGTGTTCCCATGGATAAAAAATAATACAGCAAAATTTTAGACGAAATATCAAATTTCATAGAATTCACGCAAAATTTTGAAATAAATAAAAGTAATAGCCTTCTAGCGAAAAAATTAAGTTTTAACCACTGAAAATTTCAAGCAATTGGTCCAGTATTCGAAGAGAAAAGCGACTTTTTAAAAAACGTGTCAACAATAACATAATATTGAAACGATCGTGTATGGCCACTAAACGTGTCCAATAAAGAAACTTAACTTAGTTGAGTTGCGATGATAGAGGTAGTTGAGCTGCGTGAGAGTCGAGAGTTGTCGCTTGAGTGCCAGTAGACGAGTGTCGTAATCCAGTGTCAGGAATCGGAGTCCCATAAATTGTAAGATTCGAAAAAAAGCCAAAAACGTGGCAGGCGGTCACGGGCCATGTGAACGTGGTCTAGTGTCGCTATATCAGACAAGTGATACAATTCAATTCGTTTATTACTCCAGACCGCTGCGGTCCATATAAAATTCCAACAAACGAATAAACATAAGCAAAAATAACACAATAGATACACAAAATACCTGATAACGACAATCAGATTCACAGTAGATCTCAAAATAGAGGTAATACTGTAATCTAAGAGGCCAAAAGTGAAGTATAGAATCCAAGATAGCCCGTCACAAACAGTATCTGGGAATCAAATAATGATTGTAATAGGATGTTATTGGAGTTCTTGCATCTCGTCATAAACAACCACAGATTTTTTCTATGGAGTGCTTCGAAAGAGGGAATGTTCGCAGATACCATTTTGTGACGGACACTCTCAGATCTGGAAACACAGTGAAATACGCGATAAGCATTATTATATATTATGAAGTTTTAATTTTTTTATACAAAAAGAGCAGTTTCGAAAATTACTATGCTACGCCCTGGAAATTTCCTTGAAGCGGCTTTCAAACAATTGATTGAACATGCATTACAATGAATAGATTTAATTTCATCATGATCCGGAATGAATTCAATTGGCGGCGGCAAATTCGATTTGAAACCGACAAATGGCGACAATAGATAAAAGTGGGACATGAAGCGCGGAGCTGGCGTTTTTCATCTTCAGTGCGTAGGCCTACTGTATCGTTCGTGTTGGTAACTAAGCAAAATGAGTGCCGAAGGCGCGAGAAATTTATACAATTTGATCTAAAATAGCGTTAGCTAAGCCATTTTTCATCTGTCGCGCAGTGTTTATGATACTTTTTTCGTTTAATTTACAGCGTGCATGATTTAGTTTTAATATGCAAATTAGCGTATTGCACAGCTCGAATTTAAACATTTTTTCGTCGTCACGAAAATCATTATTTAGGATGGGATTTACATATTTATCCAGAGGAAGGGGAAAGCCGATACGACGGCTTAACCATATGGCCAACCACGCCTCTCGTCCGGTTACCATTCCATGTCGGGTATGGGATTAGTTAGTTATTTGTTTTCGGTAGCATGGACTTGATGGTGGGGGAAGCCGTGCCCGTAACCGACCAGCGGTTACGTCAACCACCCTACGGCGGCGATCAGCAATCCTCTCGCACATAACTATATCCGCATGGGATGCGAACCCACGCAGAGTAATCAGAGATGCGGTGGCGTGCGTATTCCTAACGCTCAGCACGATGAGCCACAACGCCGCCGGACAGGTTAATGACAATATTTTCATTCTATTGCGGTTTCTATCTTAATCGCAGCCCTGTCTTTGCCAATGTAGGTACACTGTTCCACTTATTGTCAGATTGAATTAACGGCGGGTCCATTCATCAGTTTTTATCACTCGCATGTCCAGTATGTTTCTTGCAGTAATTCGCGACTAGTCGGAACACCGAAAAAAGACACTGGGTCACCTTATGATCTAAATCCAAAGAAGTTAGGCGGTTGATGACATTGCGACTATTGGCTAACAAACGTCATACGGCAAGCACACATGATGGTACTGCACACCGTGCCAATAAATAATAATATAATTGTTTCACTGGACATCACCAGTAATACTCATCTAGCCGTTCAATATTGACCATGTTCCAACAAACACGAGAGGAAAATATCTCTTATTTACAAAGCAGAATGAACACGCAGCTTAATTTTACAAAAAATAATATCAAACAGGCTAAAATTGCTTCATTTATTTAAATATCACCAATAACCAAATGTACGTTTCCAAAGATTTGCACAAAATTGGACAACAATATTACAAAATGAGGTTAAGGAGGATAAAAGTTTCAGTAGCAGCTTCGCAGTTAACAGGTAAACATTCAAATTTAAATTAGTTGAATATTGCTTCATATTTGATACAATCTTCTTTGAACAAGTTTTTGAATTGTTGTACTAATATTAAAATTTTGCCTAAACTACTGAACTCATTACATTGAAACTTTTAGTAGTTTTTAGTTTAGTATCTTTCTTCAATTTTATTTGCTGTTCAGCCCATTGCTTAGTCAAAAATTCTCATTTAATTTTGAAAAATGTTTTTACTGGCCATAAATAATAGGTATATTGTGAGAACTCAGTATTTTGGATATTTAAGCATTGAATTAATATTATCTAATGCCATTTGTACCTAGAAAGATAAAATTTCCTATGTGTAACAATGTATTACAGAAAGTAAAGCCAGCATTAATCTTCAAACGTCATTCTCCCTGGACCACCCTTATTCATAAATCTTCTGTATCTCTTCCATCTCGGATCTTCAGCCATTTTAATTTTAGCTTCCTCTTCTTTTTCTGCCATATATTGCTGAAATGAAGAAAATGTCACAGAGTTGATTGACAAAACTCAACAATAAATCTGTGAATATAACATGACCATACCTGACTGCTTGCTTGTGTATGCTAGATAGCTACCATTATTAAAAAAAATTTGATGTTGATCGAATGTCACAAGTACAACTAGCATACCATTGTAAACTTTTCCAATACATTATGAATATGCATGATGAATCGTTTAACTGAATTTTAGAAAACTTGACAAAAATTTTTATCAGGTTTCGAGTAAGTCTGTAAGTTACACGAGATCAATAGTCATTCAGCTAAAAAGACTAGAGTAATATCGAGTCTTTGGAAAATACAACCCAAGTCTCCCCAAGACCACCAGGAATTAATTAAACTAGTTGGGAAAGGCATGGTATATTTTTGTTGAATTTTTATCTGGAGACATTACAAATTTAAATTGGAATAATCTGTTACCGGTACTCTTTTACTATTAGGTTTTAACTTCATAATTTAATCAGACAAAAATTATGATTTAAAATAGTGTTTAATTTCCTATTATTGTTGGATCATTCCAATTACTGGTATATTAAATGAGCTTTATCAACCATTTGACTCATTATTTCTAATCTCCCAAAGTCCCAAATTACAGTAACAACAAAATTGTAAAGAGATAAAAAAAAAAATTACTCAATACCTTCGCATTTTCATTAATCCATAATTTTCTTTTAGTACAAAGTTGTTTTTCTTTTTCCTCCAAAACGTCCCATCTCATTTTAGTTAATTTCAAGTTTTTTCTCATTTTATAAATTTTATCTTCTTCTGTATATTCATCCTTCAAATACGAGTACCTATAAAACCACCTGGCATAGAATTTTGTCCATCTGTTAATAAAAAGAGAAGAATTATTGAAACAAATGGCACGACCCCTCAATAGCCAATACCTCATAAATAAACATAGTATAACAATAATACACTGACTAACGTGATCGCATGATATGGAAGAAGAAATATCTGAATCCATAAAACATCAGAAATTTTTGGCTTTTGATAACCTCCTTTAATATCTGCATTTTCTTCAATAACTTTACGTAATATTGCATTTTCATCTTCTTTCTTTTCCTCTTGGGTTTTAAACTTGTCCTTTTTTCTCTGTGCACTGTTGCAATAATAAATAAAATTTAATTCCCAATGGAAAGTTGTAATACCTATATTAAACAGCGGATGGAATATCTATGGTTAGTGGTTACATACATCTCATATTTTAGAGCGCTTTAAAATTAATTCGATCTCAAATAAATATGTTACTAATAGGTTTAGGGCTACAATATTAACAAATCTAAGAGATAAGGTCCAAACTGAGATGTATGAATCTACCACACAGTTTGGATTTGAAAATCATTCTCATCAAGAATTTAGTAAATGATCACAACTACAGCCCAAACTCATATCATTCATGAAGTCCTCAATTGGTCTAATGTATATAATCATCATGAAATCTAGATCAGTTTATGGAGCTTGTTTAAATTCATCAATTCGCACATATAAAAAACAATGAAAATATTGAACAAAAATGAATTCACTCTACTTTGAAGTAATTGACCATATAGGGGAAAGTGGAGAGGTATGGGCCACCTTGAGGTGTGGGCCATTGCAAGTTCAACAGCTTTATAATATCCCAATCACCTGTAACTTGGTGTGATTATTGCATAAGTCCTACCAAATAACACATGTTATTTGCAGGTCAGCAGCTTACGAGGTGTCTCAGCTATGAGGTACTAAGTGATTTCTTGTAGTAAAAGCTTTTTTTTGAAAAATTAGAATAATTGGGATAGCACAATCAGTTGTGGTTCTTTAACAAAATCTGTCAAAGGCCTAGGAACCTGTGTCTTGGTCCTGTTAAAGAGAGTGTTGGATGAAACAGCTCATCTTTTTTTGTAATCAAATTTTGTCTGAAAACATGGCGGGTAGGGTGCCTGAGGTTTGGGCCTGCCCATACCATGTCGGTAGTCGTGTTAATCAATATAAACTGTGATAGTGACCTAGGGAAATGTAGTGTATAATGAGAATGTCTTTATTTTTCGCCATTCTTTCGTTGTTCTGCAATGTAATGTATATCTTCTGCCAAATCAGATGATCTGCCTGGATCATCACGAAAGGTCGTTATCCCCAGAAATTATACGGCATTGCCAAAAGCCCCCGTCCAGAAGTACAACCCTCGCAAAGGTAGATAGAAAAGAATTCAATTAAGAAGAAGCAATTAAGAAAAAAAGTGAAGCAAGGTAAAAAAGCGGGAAGACAGGAATAATCATATAATTCGTCAACAGTGATTTTACAGTAGCATTGCTGGACAGCTCGGAAAGTGACATCTTTGAAATAGATTTGGATAATGTTGTCTGTTTAAAAGATCCAGCACTCACTAGAGACAGAGCAGTGACATACAAATTTCTGGGGACTGTGAATGCAAATGAGACAAAGCTGTGCTGCAAATTTCCAGGATATATATGAATACTGGCTATTGATTGATAAAAATTTTGTTGCATCTTACCTATGTTTTATTTAAAAAACAGCTTTATTGATTGTAGAAACTGTGTTTACTTATGGGGTTTGGGATTGAGTAAAATTATATTTCACAATAAGCACTGGGTTCTAGTTTTTTGATGGTGGCCCATACTTGACACTGCCTGGCCCATACCTCATATGATTTATTTTTTTTTTGTGTAAATTACGTTTTTGTGGAAAAATACATTTTTTTCCAAAACTAATTTTGAAAACTCCAAAACAATGCTAGGAATAGTTAGCTGTTTTGTTAAACATTCAGTGGGTAAAAGAGTGAATATTTAGTTCAAAGGGCCAAAGCGTTGTGGCCCTCCAAAGTTTGGTGGCCCATACCTCTCCACTTTCCCCTACTAATTTGAGAATTAATAGAACAATGAAAACATTGCAATTTTGTGAATATGATTACTGCTTTTCAAATTGTGTCAAGAAAATCTAAACTCAATGAGAAAAATAAACAAATACCTTTTCTCTAAAATTAATCCTCTAGATTTTGCCTCTTCTTTTGCCATATTTCTATATTTAGTATTATGCAGCATATAATTTAAGGCTGTATTATAAGATGTCATCCAACTTATATATTGGAATACCGATATCGCAGTTATGGTTCCGAAAATTACATATCGGACATCAACATTCACTTTTCGTCTGTAATATCTATAGTAATTGTAATAATATTCCTCTGGGTGATCCAGATAATAATCATATTCTTCTTTTGCTTGCGCATCTTTTAATGTTTCATATGCAGTAGCAACTTGTTGAAATTTCTCGATAGCTTCTTCAATTTCTTGCGGAGAAGCACCTTTGTTTTGTACATAATCTGGATGATATTCTCTAGCAAGTTTACGATATGATCTTGAAATTTCTGATTTAGACGAGTCTCTAGTAACTCCAAGAACATCATAACATGTATCCTCTCCACAGTACATCTCAGAAATAAGTTGACACGAAATGCATGGTAGCAAGGCTATGAATATGACATATTTTGTCATAACATACATGGGTGGTATCCTACTCATGAGCATAACCTTGACAGACTTGGCTGCAAACTGATAGGAATAAATTATAAATCACAAAATTGACTAGTTCATTGAAAAGCTACACAATTCAGTTATTACTGTACTATTCAATCATACTGATATGACTGTATGATAGAATATACCGTAGCATAGGGGTCTTACTACTTACTGAATACAGCGCGAAACACCGCAAAGAGCGCAAAACAGCGCGAAACAGTGCAAAATAGCGCGAAACAGAGGAAAACAGCGCGAAACAGAAGGAAACCAGCGCAAAACAGAGGGAAACAGCGCAAAACAGGAGACGCAGTCATTACCACCTCCTGCCACGAAAGATCCACGACGCCTCTCGCCATGGTTTATGGCGCTATTTCCGGCATGTATACAAGGTTATGTACCGGATTATAGGTCATCATGCGAAATTTTATCTACCTTTTTGGTGCTCCAGAAGTATGTGCAGCAATATGTCACACAACCTGAATCCGCTACACATATACTATTTTCAGGTTGTGCGCCATCTTGGTGCACATACTTCTGGAGGTCCCTTTTTACCTAACCCTAAAGCCAACCATATCCATATGGAAAATGTTCTAAATTATGGTACCCAAAATGTATCACCAGCAGGGGCAGACCTGCCATTACAGCATTACTGGCTACATACGTTGGTTTGTGTTTTTAATTTGCTGCCGTGGTACTCCAACTCAAAACAAAGTGCCCCGAACTCATTGCAAAATTTTTTTCTGCTTCACACTGTTTCCCTCTGTTTTGCGCTGTTTCCCCACTGTTTTGCGCTGTTTCCCTCTGTTTTGCGCTCTTTGCGGTGTTTCGCGCTGTATTCAGTAAGTAGTAAGACCGGTAGCATAGGCATAGCAATTATTAAGATATTGAAAATCTAACATTTGTTAGTGAACATTTCCTCATTTGTTATGAATTTTTGTGATGTTATTTTTTTAATTTGATTTCAAGTCAAGATCATCATCATTTACAGCAGGGGTCACCAAACTTTTTTGACCGAAAGCCAGGTATGACACAAACTGTGTTGAAAACGGGCCGGACAAATATTTTTATCAATGCAATACAATTCACAGCGGGATTATAAGTAGGATACCGGTACCGGTATGAGTTTATTTCGACTCCATACTGCCATAATCAGCAGTAGCAGCAGTGAAATCCATTCAATTTATTCAAAAATATAAATTATATAGGCTATTTCTGAAGTCTTGAATATTAAATTATATAGGCCCTATCGCAGAATATAGATCAACAACATCATAGAAAAATAAATATACAAGATTTTTAAACCAGCGGCGGTGTGGCTCAACGGGCTACAGGGCTAAGCGTTAGGAATACGCTCGCCACCGCACCTCTAATTACTCTGCGTGGGTTTGCAGGTTCGAATCCCATGCAGGGATGGTTATGTGCGAGAGGACTGCTGGACTCCTCGCCGTCGTTGGGTGGTTCACGTACCGGTAATCGCTGGTCGGTTACGGCTTCATCCACCACCAAGTCCATGCTTCCGAAAAAACAAACAATATAACTAACCCCATATCCGACTTCAATTGGTACGGTAACCGGACGAGAGGCCGTGGTTGCCATATGGATAACCCGTCTTATCCCTTTCCTCTCCCCCGGGATAAATATGTAAAATCCTATCCTAATCCGAACTATCCTGAGGTTAACGATAGCTGTTACGGCATAGCAGTACAGCGTTAGAAAAATAACTGCTGTCTTGAATATCTGCGTGTAAGCAATCAACCTTTCCCCGACCTTTGACCCCCGAAAAATTCTTTCTATACTTTACCATTGCAAAACTTTTGGGCTATTTTAAGAGTGCTTTTGCAAGTTGGCGCCTGTAAAATGGGGTATGCGTTTCGAACAATCATTTTGATTCATCGCATACAACAATCTGTTTTTTTTTAAATACCGGTAAAGAATTTTAGCCTAGTATATCACAGCTATTTCTACACTGATTTTTTATTACTGCAATTAAATTAAAACTCCTAGGAAGACAGAGTGATCATTGAATATTCTGATTTATATTACAGTTTTCGAAACACAACTTAAAACTAACGAATAGAGTTCGAAAACGCAAAAACGAGGTAATGTTTACGACAACGCTTGAAAATCTGTTCAAGTTAGAAAAATGGGAGCATTGTTTCGTCACTTTTTGCATCTTGCGAATTGGTCAATGTCACGAAGTAAACAAGGGAGTCGATGCTTGGGGAAAGGTCCATACTCCATATGGTTGGATTATCCGGATAGCAGGTATCCGGTTAACCGGGAGTTGTTACGATATCTGATATCCGGATACTATTGTGACGGTTAACCGGAATAGAGTAGTACAATAAACAAGAGAGCTATGCTAAAATATATGGACACGTAACCCCAGATGATTTTGATGACGTCATAGAAAAAAGTAAAAGTAATAGCCTTCTAGAGAAGCAATTGGTCCAGTAATCAAAGAGAAAAGCGATTTCTTCAAAACGTGTCAATAAACATGAACAACATAACAACAAAACGATCGTTATGTCTACTACGTGTCCAACAATGCATATGCGCCATAGTAATTTTTATCTTTTTGTTAAGTGGGGACTAACATCTCCCAGAGCGAACTCCACTATTACATCACAAAACACGCAGAACAAATGTGATTATTGCGTATTTGCGTTATAGAAGAGCTCATTCGCTTTAGCTTGGAACTGGAGGCACAGTTAGGCTTAGATCCCGATTTTAGCCTGTTTTAAATTTTGAATACAAGTTGCAAGTTTTTTAATGAGTTGAACGATTTCCATTATTTGAAGCAAAGACCAATATAGGATATTTGGGATTTGCAGATAATTTTGATGCCCTAAATTTACCCATAATGGTATGGAAAACGTTTAAACTATTACTAAACTTCCAAAACTAAACCAAGGTTGGCCTGTCTAGTCTGCACCGTCCAGTTTTTTGCATGAGATATATGGTGAGCCTAGGTACAGAATAAGCAAGACTAACTTAAACGAATTCAGTTAAAAAGCATTGGATGGGTGGGTGCGAGTTTGTTACTTTTTGGTCGAGTGTAGTTTTCAGTTTTTGCGCGTATTGGAGGAACGCGTTTCATGATGGAATAAACCAGTTTGAACTTCCAGGACTTATTTCACAGTACTTACGAATTACATGTAATCCGTCTCGCATTTCAAAACTTTCAGTACACGAACGCATGTTATTTGCATGTTTTTAACTTGGGTAATTATGCTAGATGGAGAAATATTTTAAGTTTTGGCCTAATTAGTACAAACGTGGAAATATATTTTCAAAATCATCATTTTTCCTTGTTATTAAGTTTTGTTCATTTTCCCGGACTGCCAACCCCCCCTCCTTATTCTTTTCTGGAAGCATGATTTCTGGGTTTATGATTCCATTTATATGTATACTCTTACAGTATATATGTAAAACGGTTATTTCGTCATGCAAGAGATCACAAAATGATACAGAACACAAAATACTATTGCACACAGCCCTATAACGTCAGCAGCAGTGTTCACTATTAGCGCACTTTTTTGCGAAAATTGCGAAGCACTTTCGCAACTTTTTTTAGGGACTGCGAAATAGCACTTTTTTTCAATTTTGAAGAGAAATAGCACTTTTTCCGATTTTGAATGGAATAAAAATTCAAAGTTAACAAATATTTTCGAGTATTAAGTTGACAAATAAGTAACATACTAGTACTTTTGTAACTCAATTCTGCATATCATAACGATATTTACCGGAATTCTAACCTATGAGATGCAGACATAGGAGATAAAGCTTTTGCATTAACGGCAAAATTCTTGTTTATAATATGATTATTATACAAGCACACCGATTCCGCTTCTCGCTTCTCCCGCAAAAAACGCTCCTGGGGCGTTTCTTTGAACGAGAGTGGTCATGTGACTATCAATGATATCGATGAATTCAAAATGACTATAAAAGTGTTAGTAACGTGTTATAGTCACTTTGGATGAATTGTGACCAAACTGCACGATTTTCAAATCAGACGAAACTTTTAGCAGCATGTCACAGATTTGCAAAATCAACAAATTCACAAAATACCATTAAGTGCCATTTTATTGTAATCACAATGTTGAAAGGACGTGGCATTTTCCGGAATTTTGCGATATTTACACAACTATTTCTCATTGATATGCGAGGACGGGTGGGCAAAATTCAATATTTTTTTTAATCGAATATTTTTTAAGGAGTACGAATAAACGTGGTGGAACATTAAAAAATCGGCAACAAAGCCTTTTTACTGGTTAATTCCGTTGTAATCGCTAATTGTTCTTGTCACCGATCGTTTTGGCGGCGATATTCAGGTTTTGGGTGATCTATATTCCCGCCCTCTCTTTTTTACGAATATGAATTCTCGTGGGTCGGCGGACATCGAAGTTTAATATTTCGGGTTTACCCGTTCGTTCACATCGGCAACAGCTGTTGAAGACATTGAGGACTCAAATTAACATTTGCGTTGGCTTTAATATTACCTATCAAGATTTGTAAATTTACCGTCCCAATTTTATGCGAATGATAATATTATTGTCAGATACCGTGATGCAGATATTTATTAAGACGATAATTAACTTTCTCATGTTTTTCTATGGTGATAAACTTCACAAATCTGAAATTGTGCCAATCCTGAATGTTGATTTGAAATAGTGATTGAATAATTCGGCTATAAAAGCATTTCTGCGTGGTCATAAGACGAGATGACGGTAATGAACAGCACTTCTTTTACAGGATATTTTACGTATGCGACTTAATGCTAAAAAGATTGGGCTTGAGTGCTTTTTTTTTCGAGTGCTCGAGTGCCTAATAGAGGTCAGGCGCTAATTGTAACTAATTCCCTCAAGTTTCAACCTGTTTTCAACAAAACAATACCCCGGCGATAATTATAGCTAAAATGTTAACGAGCAATTCACAATTTTATTTATGGAATTTGCAAATTCACCAGTTTCTTGACAATTTTGATATTGTCACGCCCTAATTATTAGTGCAAAAATACTCCCCTTCTTCCGCGGCGGTTTGACGGGTTCT